GTGCCAACACACACATAAGTTTGTGGTACGGACCAATTGCGGTCGAAGGTTCCAATTCCCCCATTCGACAAGTACAAGTCTACAGCTTAAATGTTAGTAAATTAACAAAAATCTTTAAAAAAAATCTAATATTTTTTGTAAAAAATGTACAATCGGTGAAACTGGTGGTAACCTATTAGGAAATTCCACGATACTTAAAGGGTTGTCAATAGTCAACATGTCACAAAAATGTATGTAATCACTAGCTTTCGTCCGCGATTCCGTCCGGGTGTAATTTAAAAAAAACAAAAGTGAGTAGTCTATGAGTTCTTCCAGGCTATCCTCTACTTCTATACCAAAGTTCACCGAAATCTGTTAAGCCGTTTAGGCTACAAACTCTAAAAAACATCCATCCATCTAAACTTTGGCATTTATAATATTAGTATGATTAAATTATATTTAAATAATTCATTTTGTGACATTGTTCTTTTTATAACAAAAGATGGAGCTTATTATTTTGCTTGACAATTGATGTATTCATTATCACCAGCTCACTACATGTCCCCTATGAGGAGGGGCTCAGAAGGCTCTGAGGCTGATGGTCTAATCACCCCTAACTTAGGGTAGGCACCCTAGTTATGGGTGACTAGGCCATAGTCAACCACATACTGTGGGTTGACTTCACACATATCTTTGAATTTCTTCACTGATATGTGCAGGTTCCATCACGATGTTTTCCTTCACCGTAAGAACGTCGGGTAAATTATGTACCTATGAAATTCGTTAATCACATTAGTATATGGCGGGATTCGAACCCAAGACCTGTAGATTACAAGTCAAGAGCTTAAACCACTGAGCCACTGACTGATTGATGTATTACCTGTCAGAGAAAGTACCAGTGAATAAAATCACTGCCTAGTCTATATTTCTTAAATGTTTTTGTACCAGGGCTATGGAGTTAGGTCGGGAATGTCTGAAATTGTGGGGTTACGAGCGGGTAGACGAGTTAATCTGGGTGAAGACCAACCAGCTGCAGCGCATCATCCGCACTGGACGTACTGGACACTGGCTCAACCACGGCAAGGAGCACTGTCTGGTAAATCTCCCAACTAGACAAGGCAGTAGCTAGAGTGGTACAGCCCGCTTTAACATCTTCGCACTGCAGGGCCGGCACGCCCGGTGTACCACGACCACACAGAAGACAGGCGTGAAGTGGAAGCAATTCCGCATTTCGTCTGATGAGTGTGGTGCCGGAGGCCCAATTTAGTCCCTTTCCCGTTTCACCCTGTTCAAATAAGGATAGGATTGGATGGGAAAGTGGATTTAACGGTGGGGGAGACGCATAGAAAGGGGAAATATCCTCTTTATGTGCGTCTCCTCCTTCGTCGTATAAGGGTAGGCAACGCATCTGCAATTGCGGATGTCTATGGGCGGCGGTCGCTTCGCCATTTTGGCGGATTTTGGTGGCCGTTTGCTCGTTTGCCACCTTATTGTATAAAAAAAAGCTAGATATGAAGGTAGGACAGTAATAGGGGACAGTAGGGCGGTAAAAAATGAAGTAGGGCTTTATGATTTTAAGGTTAGGAATTCTCTGGTATGCTCTTCCCCTACTAGCTATGACTATGCCTTTAACTACACTGTAAATAGTAATATTCGATTAGCTATATAACTGACTAGCTGTTGCTTGCGACTTTGCCCGCGTGAAATTAAAAATAATAAAAAATATAGTCTATGTTACTCAGTGGTTAAGTAGCTTTAATGGTGCAAGAATTTTTAAAATCGGCCCTGTAGTTTTTGAGTTATTTCGTTATATCTAAAATTAAAAATACAAATCTTTCCTCTTTATGATATTCGTATAGGCTAGCTGTTGCTCGCGACTTCATGCGTATGAAATAAAAAATATAGCCTTTTTTACTCACTGAAAACGTAGCCTTTCAATGGTGAAAGAATTTTTGAAATTGCCCAGTAGTTTTAGGGTTCAAAATTATTCTAAAAAATAACATAGGCTATACGTGTTACAATTTTCAACTACACGTGAACGAAGTCACGAGCAACAGTTAGAACAAGATATTTTGAAAAAATAAAAAAATTGTCTTCAGGTCGGTATGAAAGGCAACCCTGAGAATTTGAACCGAGGTCTGGACTGTGACGTCATCGTCGCCGAAGTAAGAGCCACCTCGCACAAGCCAGATGAAATATATGGCATTATTGGTAAGTAATTATATGAATTAATAAACCTTAAATCTATATCTATACTATTATAATAAAGCGTAAACACACACTTCTTTGTTGCCTAAGATGTCATGCAATTACACCATATTTTTGAAAAATTATATTTTAAATAAAAAGCCCTACACTTACGTCACGCTTTAGGCTATATATTTTCAAGCCATTAAACTTAAGGGGTAATTTTGGATAAAAACCCTAATGTGGGAAAGAGACCGTAAGTTGCTGCCAACATCAAGGAAGCAAGATTGCTAAGGTTTGTCATGTCATGCCATTTTGACATTTGCAATTGACAATTTGACACATGTAAACAACAAAATAATTTTAAAATCGAAACTTCATTTATCAATTCTCCTTTTTCATATGAGCTTTTGTTTTTTTTTTTCAGAAAGATTAAGTCCCGGCACAAGAAAAATAGAATTATTCGGTCGACCGCATAATGTTCAACCTAATTGGTGAGTTAAATATAAAATAATCTAGTTAAATATCTCCAAACTACGAAAAGTAAATTAATTTAATATAGGATAGTTTAGGAATTTTCGTATAGATGGCGCTTTTACAAATCATAAATGCCTCTCTTATTGCCTAAATGCTATATGTTCCTTCTCTTTCATGTAACGAAATATGATCAAGTATGTATTCTTCAAATTTAAGCTAAAAGTTAATATTTAGTTGACTTTATTCAAACTGTCAGTAAGTTCTATATTATAGTTTGTCTAAAGATAGGTTAGTTTGATAAATGACGCATATGAAGTATCGAATTCAATTTGTATGAAGGCAAATGCCGTACTTAATAGACAGGTATCGTAGTGACGAAACAAACACGCAGCGAACAATTGTGAACTATCGATATTCGGTTTAAATAATTATCGAACTCAATTAAAATTATTACTTTCTTATTAACTAATTTATAAGACAATTCTAGTATTGATTATAGTGTAGAGAATTTAGCGATGACAGAAATAATAGCGAAATCCAATTACGTGCGGCTCTAGTAGTAATAAACATTTATTTACTCTCAATATTTGTTATGGTCATTATTAATTTGTGAAAACAGTTTTATTTTTTTTAAATTCATAAATTATTACTATAAATCTATCGATTCCAATTCTATAAGAATAAAAATCGAAAATCGATAAGATTCATGACTGATTTTACACAACCCATCCCTACTAAATTTGACATGAATTGTCATACTAATCTAATTTATTTAGACACCCTATAGGTTTTTATTAAGAGATAGTGATAGGGGTAATAGTGGAAAAAAAAAGTGTTTTACGTTATAAAAACTTTCTAACTGTGTAAGAAATTTTGAAGTCGGTAGTATCGGCTTTTTCAAAGTAATCAATCAAAAATTTCCTTTTTTCCTAGTATTAATATGTGTAAAAATTCAACAGGATAACATTAGGTAACCAAGTGGATGGTGTCAGATTAGTGGAACCGGACCTTATAGCGGCGTTTAAGAAGCGATACCCTGACGGCAATTGTATGGCCCCGCCTGCTGACCCTGGATTGGCTTAGTGTAAACTTAAATGGCTTAAACGTACACTGCCCTCAGTGAATCCATACTCTGAGTACCCTAAGGTTTGATTAGGGCAACCACACTGGACTGTGGGTTGACTTTATATGTTTGAATTTCTTCACCTATCATCCATGTTTTCCTTCACCGTAGAAATGGCGCGAAATGTACAGTCGGGAAAACTGTCGGTGTTCCCCCTCAAAGTTGCAATAGTTTCAACATTTAGAAACGACACACTGACAAAAACCTATACAATGCAACTTAAATGTATCTATCGGAAAAAAGTTGGTTAGTAACACAGTTTCTTTTTATTATCCCTTCATTGTACCATTCACGATTTAATTAGTTATTTGTAGGAAGAGACGTTTGTCGTTACAAGGCACTTATCCTTAAGTGATACACTGCGGATTTCCGCGAATGTACACATTGAGTTCGAAAATCATAGTACGGCGGGATTCGAACCCAAGATCTGTAGTTTACAAGTCAGTCACCCTTGAGTCACTGACGCTCCTTACTAAAAGTATTACATGAACTTATTGTATGAACACGGACTGATTACATAACTAGTATATATGTGACGTAACTAACAGTTAGTTTTTAAGAAAAAAATCATTCGATCTTATAGATTTAAAAAAATAACTAAAAGTTGTAGATAGAGCCATCTATTGTTGTTAAAAGTGTTTAGATTAAATGTTTTGAGGTTAGGTTTTTTTACAATTCTGTAAAATCGTACTGCCAACTATTGTAAATATTTTTTTTTTACGTTCTGAAATAAAACAGGCCTATTTAGCGTTGTACAAGCTAAATTATTTATTTCCAATTAAAAAAACTCGTTACAAAAAAAAGAATGACATTTATGTACATAAAAATATCTGATACAAGTTATATATTTGTAAATAAAGTATAACAAAAACATGAAAGTCTATTCATTTCTAGTGAACTCCACTTGTAATTTTCACAACATAATATTCACAACATTCAATAAAACGGTGTATGCACGTTGTGTCTCGTTTTCGGAGATATTGGTCTATTGAAGATTCTCATCGGCCCCATCCTTGGGTTCTTTTCTTTTAATCTGTACGTAATTAAAAAAAATACGCTCTTTAATCTGTGACAGCTGTCAAAATGAGATCCATTCCAAGCATTTTTTTTAAATTAACGTACTAATTATGCACATAACAAAATTAGAGAAAACATTTGAAAAAGAAAACGGAAATGTTTGTAATACCTGTCTTGATTTTCTCGTGACGTCGCATTTGCTTTTTCCATAACAATGGTGTCGAGCATTTTTCTTTGATACTGGAAAGGAACAAAGGATAAATCAGAAATTTATAAAAGTATTATTTGATTATTATAAACACAATGCACCTTATTCCAGTTTAACATCAAATATATACATTTAGTATTTTTTTTAATCTAATTTAATACGTAATTATATAAAAATGGTATCAAAAAAATTTAGTTCAAAAAATAAACCTTGATACTGTTGAGTACGTCGCCTTGTGTAGCTGTATTACGTTCATCGGAGCGCACGCTAGGCGCGCGCTTTCCAGAGGGCGCGACACGTCGCGCGCCTAACGACGCCGCGCCCACGGAACCCGCGCCCGTCGACCCATACCGTGGAGCTGTCACTGCTCCCGCCAAAAATACTTATGTCACATTCCTATTATTATTTATACGAAAGTCTAGATGAGAGGATTGATGGCTTTTGCTGTGTTTTGGCATACATTATTATTTGAATACAAGCAGTTATGTGAAGTGTGTGAAATAGTTTGGAGATATCCACTTAATCAAGTCTATTTTTTAAATTGTTTATTGATGCCATCAATACATCTTTTGGCAGTTTGAGTGATTTCTCTCTCAGACAAAAAATGCTCTGTGGTTCTTTTGGGTGATTTTCCAGATGTTGGTTAAATGTCTATCAGCCACATGTCAATAAAATCGTAAATAAAATAACTTTTATAAAAAAACCATTTATTTTAATTCCTTACTACTTCTTGGTAACTAAATTCTAAATTAACTACATTAAACTATAAACAACCCATTTTGTACATACATTTCTGTGGATTTTTAGAAATTACCATTAAAAATATATAGTTTCTACCTTGATAAGGTAGATTCATAAACATATATTTTCTTTGTGAAAAACATAATTTAATCTTAAATTTCCACTGTCAAAATCCTACAAGAAATATGTAGCCTAACCAAGCATATAAATAATCTTGACCTGGAGTCACTTTTATTTTATCTCTTATGAGCTGTTGCTCGTGACTTAGTCCGCATGAAATAAAAAATATAGCCTATGTTACAGATAAATATCTTTCTAATGGTGAAATAATTTTAGTTAGAGTAGTTTTTGAGTTATTTCAATCCATACAAAAGTATAGATGTGTGGAAATAATTTAGTTCCATATATTGCCTCAATATGGTGAGGGTTTTTCTGTACATGGTCAAACTATACCTTTGTTTTCAAAGAGATTGAATGTTTTCAACAATGGAAAATCAGTTAATTTGAGAATTTATAATACATCACAGATGTTGATTCACATTACCTCTAGAGTTTATTGTTACTAGAATACCATTTATTTAAATACATTGTCTAACAATCATAAAAATCAAGTAAATAAGACCTCAACATGCACTAACATATACACATTGTTTTTTCCTACAGTCAGATACATAATATGAAAACATCTCTACATATTATAATATTATAAAGAGGAAAGATTTGTATTTTTGTTATTGAAATAACTCAAAAACTACTGGGCCTATTAAAAATTCACCATTAAAAGCCATGTTATCAGTTACATAGGCTGTGTTTTTTTATTATTTTTTTTTATTTAAAGCAAAGGAAGTTGTGAGCAACAGCTATTTACAATACATTTAGAAACATACATACAAATTTCTAAAGTGTTGTCAATGTATCCATATTTATGAAGCTGACTGTACATTTAAGATAGGCAATGCATTTACAACTTTATAAGGCCTATTTTATTTATTTAAAACATATGTATATGTTAATATAAATTAATTAACTAATTATTCTTTGCTTGGTCTTTCACTGGAATATCTTCTTTCTTGTCAACAATTTCACTTTTACCAGCTAATTCTTTAGTTTTAACTTCTTGTAGTTGCTTTTTTCTATAATTAGTGGGGCCAGCAAATGTTGCCGGAGATTTCTTTGTCTCCGGAATATACATTTCAAACGCCTTAAAGTATTTTAATATTGCTTCAACATCTTCCTCTTTTAGTTTATATTCTAAAGCTATCTTCGACGCTGTGACCTCTGTGGGATTCATTTGATGTGATTCGATAAACTCTAAGGCTCTTCGTAATGTTGTCCGGCCATATGGCACTTCTTCCGGTTCATTCCATCCCAATTCGAAAATAGGAACTTGAGATCTGTCTTTAGGTAAGGGTCTGGCTGGATTTTGTTGAATCTTTTCTCTAGTAACGTCAGCCTCTGGACGGCCATAAGACGTTACATAAACGGATTTCAATCTGTCATCTAGCGCTGGGTCTTTGTTGTCTAGTTTCTGATCTATGTCAGGTACCGCTGCTAACGTACGTTTCAAATCATCCTTGGTAGACGGATAGTGGGGCGCCGGTGTCGGTTTTTCTTTCGAAATAACTTTATGAGCACGATTCTCAACGTTAAACGTCTTTATAGGTCGCAAAGCTTTTGTTACTAAAGCACCCATCTCGGGTGGCGTTAGTCGAATATTTTAGTTTTAAACAATTTAAATTAAAACGTAAAACATTACTGTTTTATTACTTAAAAGTGTATTATTTTTCTAACCATTGTTAGGTTAGATTTCATGTGACAGTTGACACATGACAATGACATTCGGTTTCTAAATTTGAATTTTGTAAGTTATTGCCAGTATTATGAAATTAAAGACATTTTTCGTTCGAAAAAGAGCAATAAATCCATACGTTATGATTTCGTATTTTGGTGAGTATTATTGCATAATATACAGTCGTGGAAATGCACGGTATTTGAATTACAAAAAAATGTTTAGTTCTTTGCAGCTGAACATGACCAATTATGTAGCATCGTGCGCAAAATACGGTATGAAAATAAAAAGCATTTAGCTGGGTACCAATGACCGACCTATTTCGACACATATAAAATCTTCATCTGATTGGTTATTATTTCGTGTCATCCACAAGTTTCAAGGCATACAAACAGATGTCGAAAACATTTTTAAAAAACGTAAAGAAGTATGCATACAGTCAACTTACGTTTAAGTCTTGATAACGCGTCACGAATTGCGATCTTCGAGGAAATCTTCTTAACTTCTTTAACGGTCAATGTGTTGGTCGCGCGAGACTGCTCTAGCGCTAACCGCGGCGGAATCGGACTGGGACTACGGCCGAGACGACGTCGGTACTGCGATTGCGAATCCCTTGCAACTTTGAGAAAATTAGGTATTACATTACTATCTAAAATTTTAATTACTACATACATTATTAAAGCTAATAAAGCTAAAACCTGTGCTAGTATACGACGGTGGTATATTCCGACTAGGATTTCTGTAAGCGAGGTAATCACATTGATCATTTCTTCTTTTATAAGGATCTCGTAATGGCTCATGAGTAGGGATGAATCCACAATTTTCTCGACATGCACTAGAACGCATAAGAAACTCCTAAAAATTAAAACCTTGGGTTAAATATAATACAACCGCTTCCCCAAAGATAATCTTTTCGGTGATTACGACTGCCCTACATTTTAATTTTGTACAAATAATTATCGAGTAATTTATACTGTTCTTGTATTTATTAGTCAAAAATAAATATTAATCACTTACTTTAGCTTCGGTAATAGTTTTAACAATAGGGCCCTGAGTGGTGCAAAATGTAGGTATAGTTGTAAATCCACTTGCCACTTTATTAAAATCCTGAAATCATATTAATTTAAAAAAACTTTCGAAAGAATTAAATAGCATGTATTATGTATGTTTGAAATGCGTACTTGACTGGTAGGAACAGTCCTTTTGATGAGTGGGGACGTAGGACAATCTTGCGACATCAAACGAGGCCTAGGTTCTCCGGAACCAGAAGTACGTCGAGACTTAGTATCACTCTGTTCTCTAGTATAGTAAAAAATGTTAAAATAAGTTCACAAACGTACGTATTTAAATAAATTACAAATTATTATATAATATGTATTACGTACTCTGTATTTGCGTTCCTTTGGCCAAAATTCTTATAGGGTGATCTTACTCGCCAAATACATTGGTCCTTTTCGACAGGCGCAACAGTAACTGTGACAAAAGAAATTCTAATTTATAAATTTTTACACATATTTATAAGGATACTAATCTAATTATGTGTAGGTAATTCATCTTATGTAATTTACCAACCTTATCTATAAGAATACACCATTTATTGGTACCGTCACAGAATTTTGGTGACAATTTCACGCAACGCACTGTCAATTTCCATCGCATTTCATTACAAATATCTGGCCACGAACAACAAGATAGGACTTTCTTCCATTTCGGCCTATTGAATGTTTCCGGTTGTTGCTCTAATTCGTCACTTTGGTCGAAAACAGTGCTATTTTTAATAATACATCCTTTCCTACGGCACAATGGCTCATTGCCCGTAATAGTTAAATCACAAGAGGCTAGGAATTTCTCCTCGGTTTCAGTTTCGAACACGTCTGAATAATAAAAGAAAAAAAATGGTCAAGTTTCAGCATATTTAATAAGATGAAAACAATTCAAAATAACACTGTTTACTTGTACAAAATATAGCAACTGGCAGTGCGTTACGGTTGGGTTATCACAAAAACTATTAAATAAATTTCGAAACTAATGCGATTCCAGACTTTAATTTATATACCTGCATTTCCTTTTCTTATAATTTTTGATGCTTGTGGTCTAGAATGTGAGGCACCATCAACTCTGTTTTGCCTTTGCACTGGAGGCGGCGGAGACGGTGATTTATGAAACAAAACTGGTCGGCACTTGATAGCCTTTTCGGTAATAGAATACAAGCCATACTTGTGCTCGGGGAGCTTGTCAAAATCTCCGTGCACCCGTTTCCTGATGCAAACTTTGTTAATGTTATTATACTGCTACGTGTAACAAAATATAAAAACCAAGAACAATATTTAAGACTTTTACATATACGATAGTTATAAAAATACGCAATTCTATTCAAACGTGCCGTTTATTTTTAACTGGTAACATCGCAACTGGGCATTCCAAATTATAAGCGCCCAAAGACAATTTTGAATTTTTTCCGTTAGTGGTTTATGGTCGAGTACTTTTTTTATTATTGTAACTTATACGATCTTAAATAAATTGCAAGCGTAAGCAAGTGCTTACCTATACAAATTCCCTTGTTTTATCAGCCACGGCTCAAGTTTTTCCAACCATTCCTGTTTTCAATAATAATGTTAAACAATATTAAATATAACTGTGACAGTGTAGATATTTTAGTAATTAATTACGAAACTCTCAATCCATGTACTATACAACTAAACACTGCCAATTACTATCGCAACTTTAATTGTTATTTGCTCTTATCCTTCCTTCGTATTTTTAAGACACAAACGGAGACATTCTTCGCACTAGGTCAAAAACATCTAAATGTTGCTTAATTACCTGCTGTTGTCCAATTACTGATCCAGGTCTACATATTCTCATCCAGCCGATAGCCTCGTGAGAGGTCATTCGATAATGCTTGATCAAGTAACAACCGATTAAAGAGCCAGTGCGCCCTAAACCTGCCTGAACAATTGCTTCATGATTACAAATATTCAACCAACATTATACGTAACTTACGGACAAATGTATCAGAATCATTTCCACTGCATCTCGCTTAACAAATACATTGTTACAGCGATCGTGAATAAAAATCTATACATATAATAAAATTGGAGTGTTTGTTTGTAACGTCAAAAGAAAAAAATCCAGATTAGGGGAAGATATTTGCGTTGTTAAAATTTTTTTTTGTCTGTCTGTCCGCAAGCCGCGTTTGTTCCGGGTAATCTCCGAAACGACTAGACCAATTTCGACGGGACTTGCACTGAAGGGTAGCTGACATGTATAGGCATTATAGGGTACTTTTTTTAATTACGCGCTGTCAAAATGGCGTAACCGTTGGTCTAAATTTGCGCTAAAGAAGTTTGCGGGCGATGGGTCGTTTAAGCAATAAAAGTTATTTAAATTCATAACCTTGCAATGAACGGCAATAGCACCAACGCTACTTTCGCTAATACGGAGAAATTTTAAACATATATTCTTCGGTGGGCAAGAACCGTCGAGAAAAAATAAATCGTAATGAAGTATGCCAGCACTAATGAATCTGAAAATACAAAGTTAGATTAATTACAAGGAACAAGAAATACATAATAAAGGATAAGAAAAGACATTTATCTTCGTTCTCTTCTCTGTCGATTAAAGAAAAACGTATAGTACTCACATATTCCCATCATACATTTTTTTATTTAGTCTAATCACCACATTAACGTTGTTTTCTTTAAAATAACTGATATATTCTTCAGGGCGATGGTAAATAGGAGCCTTTGTGTCAACAGGTCCTATGAAAGCGAGAAATTTGCCTGAAAATGAAACAATAATGAATTTAAAATGTGAAAGATAAAATTACTTTGCTTCAACTAGAACTTAACAAAAATACTTACCGGGTATAATCCAATTGAGGTCGCCGCCTTCTATTTTATCCAATGCGACGTAATCTTCATAGTTGAAATCTCGAAAATCGAAAAATCCTAGCTCTCGTGCTTTATCAATCGCTTGAAGGCAGTCTAATAGAGATATCGTATACGCCGAATCGCCAGGAGTTGCATCTTGAAATGGTCTGTTAAAAAAATAGAAGCTTGATTTAATTATTCTCTATGATCGTAACAGTCGTTAATTTCGTATAATTTCTAAATTGTGTTGAGTTTTTTTCCATGTCACAATAGTCCAAGTTTAGTCTCTTCTGGATTCCTTTTTTTTTTATTAAACGACTAGATTTTTAACATGTTACAAACTCAAACCTGTGACTCACCGATAACTATAACCTTGAAGCAATAACGGTCTTAACGCTTCTTTGGGTCGTAAATTCAAATACACAACTCCAAAACAACCCATCAAAAAAGCAGCATTCGTACTTTTCTTAGGATCACAGGAAGTGTAATGAACAACGAACTGACTTTCCCTACATTTTTCTAGTTTCTCATTCAATAATTTGCAATACTTGTAAATACAACCTAGATTCAATGGTCCGAAATCCGAGAAATAGTTTTCGTAAACTAGATCATTATCTATACACAAGAAATATGTTTCCGAAGTGCTTTTAAAAACTTTTCCGGGCCTTGTGATAGCGAAATACAATGTATTTTTGATATATTCCGACATATACAATATATCAGTGTGCTGTGTCATCATGGAATGTTTCCTACGATCTTAATGGTAAACACATAATTAATATCTCGTAATTAATTATGCAATAAATTACACTACGATTTAATCACATAAAAGTAAATCAAAACAAAAATTAGAAAATAATTTTGAAAGCTTTCAAGATTGACTTTGACGTGCTTTCTCTTGTTTTCATTGAATAATAGATAATTATAACAACACACACACACACACACAAACAACACAGTTCTTTCTATTGATGTAACAGTCCGTATTTATTTGCAATGTTATATTATTACATTTTCTTAACTATGCTATTGTTTGATGTGTCGTTTTTGATACAAAAGCAAGCAACATAACGATCGCCTTACCTCTATACTTAAGCTTATCTCTGTATTTGTATAATTTCTATTAGAATGGTTAATAACGTTGTGGGTAGTGTATAAGAAACTTTTAAAATGAAAATCGATTATTCGATTGTTCGATTGTTCGGTCTATGGTTATCCGAATAGTTTTGACATGACAGATGACAGTGCCAAATCTCTACACTCTCTGGTTCTAGTCTTTTTCCGGTACGCAAGGTAAAGTGTCAAAGTGTTTGTAAAGTTATTTTCAAAATCTGTTATTATTTCAGTGATCTTTTAAGATAAATTGATAAAACTATTTAAATGGGGAATCGATATATTGCTCAATTCGTTTTGTTTCGTATTTCAGGACCAAACATAATAAATAATCATGGCTGATGTCGAAGTGTAAGTATTGTTTTTCCGCATAAACTTGAATTTAAAAAATACAATAACGTGTAAATTAAGTAAATATGCATAAGCAAATAATAATACCTTGTTGTATTAACTTTTATTGGACGTTAAATTAAAAATAAAACTTGTCAACATAACCTATACCGTCTACTCTTGCATGTATATTGTATTGTTTTTAAACATGAATACTAACATTATCTTTTCATTTCAATGCTATGAGTAGTATTAAAAATAAATTTTATCTAATTTCCTTACAGTGAAGTGCCAGTGAACCCAGTCTTGAGTGGGGGAGCTATGGATGTAAACACAGCTTTACAAGAAGTCCTGAAGACAGCCCTCATCCACGGTGGTCTTGTTCATGGACTCCATGAGGCTGCTAAATCACTCGACAAGTAAGTTTTTAGTATATTTTTATTAACAAGATGTACTAACTAGCAATCAATTACAAAAAGTAATATTAATTAAACAACTTATGTAAGTAGAGAAACATCAAAATATTTTGTGGTCATTATTTATTTTTCAAATATTTTATACAATCTTACTAATGTAAATGTCAAAGTTTGTTTATTTAGATTAATATTTGGTAGACATTGCTGCCTAAAATGCATACATGTGGTGGGTAGTCTTCAAGAACACATAGACTACTTTTTTTTTCTGTTGTTGAAAGTTAGTAGATAAAGGCAATAGAGCTACCATAATATTCACAAGATGTGTGGCTGTTCTAGCCTCATGTCTTGTGGAAATATCAAGCATAATAGTTATGTTGGATTAAATCTGTTGCCTAAATTATTGCATATACATAGTACCACAGTGTTTGATTCTACAAACTTGTGGCCTCCCAAGTATGCTACAGTTATAACTTGCTTTTGCACTCCATTAGCATGGAATTATAAAAAGAACAATAGTAATATTGATTTAGTAAGTTGTTTTACTTTCACAAGCTAAGACAAATTAATAATTGACAGTTTAAAGTGAAATAATAGTAATGTGTTCAATACTATGCTCGTCTATTCAGTTTAGTGGCAAACTCTAACAACCATAATTCAATCTAATAAATTACTTAAAGATTAATTTCTATATGTTTGTAACTATGATGTAAATGCAATTGATGTTTGTATAAAGAAAAGCCATCATCATCCACTTGCCCTTATACCTTATGGAGGGTCGGCACAGTATGTGCTGCTCTTCCATACATCTCTATCGGCCGTCATATCTGAATCCACTCCTTTCTTAAGCATATCTTCCTTCACACAATCCATCCATACTTTCTTCGGTCTTCCTCTTCCTTTGTAGCCATCCACATTCAATCTCAACACTTTCTGGTTTATGTCCCCATCATTTCGTCGCATAATATGTATAAAGAAAAGCCAGTTTTTAAATTTTCTTTTGTCTGTCAACATTTGTTTAGGGTAACACCCTTAAATTGGATCAATTTGGATACCTTCTAATGAAAATCTTGTCAAATAGTAATATGTATATAGGTTTAAGTAAGAAATATAGAATATCATGCAGTGATAGAGTTGTCAGTAGCTGCTAGTTTTTATTTCAAGCTAGTTACAAACTTTTTGTTTTACTATTTGGTATAAGAAATGTGAAAATTCATTTAATAAATAAATAAATTTGTTCTACTAGGAGGCAAGCAGTCCTTTGCGTGTTAGCAGAGAACTGTGATGAGGCTGCATACAAGAAGCTGGTCCAGGCTCTCTGCAATGAACACCAGATCCCACTTGTCAAGGTAAATCAAGTAATAGTTAATTAGTAAACTACATTCCACAAACTATGTCAGTGACTCGGAGGTTTAAGCACTTTGAATCAATATGTCTTAGGTTTGAATCTTGAAGTGTCCTAATGTGATTTACAAATTACATATGTACATTTAACTGTTCTTATGGTAAAGGAAAACATAAGGTTCGCACACATTGGTGAATAAAATTCAAAGATATGTGTGAAATCAACCTACAGTGCATCATAGTTGACTGACCTAGTTATCCCTAATTTAGGGTAGGCTAGGAGTCTCAGTGGGGGTGTATAGAAGAACTGATGATGATAACTCCAAATAACTCACAACAGTGTTACAAATAATTGTACTTGCTTATTTTTTAATCTTAGTATAATTGATATTGCGCTCTGCACGAATCTCGCAGATTCGATGTCTGTGTGGACTCAAAGAGCGCAAAGCAAACTGTGTGCCCCTATGGTGACCCGCAACATGCGGGATCAACTTTCCTAGCACTCGGACATAAAACTAATATTACATACTTATTTTTCAATAAACGACCAAGGAGAGTAAGTAGGAATTGTATGACAGAGAATGATTTAAGAAGGGAGTGAGTTCATATATGATGACTCAAAGATGTATGGAAGAGCAGTACATAGTGTGGTCAGCACATTAGTGACAGGTGTATGTATGGACATGAGCAGGTTGATTGAATTCATACAAATTTTTACCTAACTCAACAAGAAAATGTTCTATTTAGGCCAATATTGGATGTCTTTAAACATGTTAAAATGTGGTTTTTTGCCAATGAAAATTGCATAATTAAACTTTGTCCAGGTTGACAACAACAAAAAGCTTGGTGAATGGGCTGGTTTATGCAAAATTGACAAGGACGGCAAAGCGAGGAAGATTGTCGGCTGCTCGTGTGTGGTCATCAAAGTAAGTTTACATTCGACCATAGCTTAGAAGAATACAAAAACCTAAGTGTGCTGCAATTGGTTCTTTCTTGTTCATATATGTTGCTCTCGATTTCGTCCTCATATAATTAAAAATATAGCCCATCTCGGTGATTACATAGCTTTTTAATAGTGCAAGAATTTTTGTAATCGGTCCAGTAGTTATTGAGTAATTCAATACATACAAAAATACTAATCTTTCCTCTTCATAATATTAGTATAGACAGAAAGAACAACTGTTTCATTCATAGTCATTTATGTTCGCATAAAACAACCAGCAATAACTAATATAGGTATTAAAATACAATTTTAATGTAATTTAATTTTTTTTCATAGGATTTTGGTGAAGAGACCCCAGCGCTGGATGTGCTTAAAGACTACCTCAAGTCTTCAAGCTAATCTTTAGGTGTTATGGTATCTTAATAAAAAACCAAAAAAAATACTTTACTGTGTTTTATTTTAAACACCAAAAATAATAATCTTAAACAAGTACAGAACTTGTTTTGAACATTATAGAATAAGCAATTGCTAAGTATTAAAGTTACTTGTTTATAAGAGTAAGTTATAATGTCTAAGATTTAAAAATCTTATCAAGTACATTTAATTATTGAAATGAATTAGACAGATACATGCAATTTGGCGAACTGATCGCAAATATCCCTATGTTTCGGCCATTGCTGCACTTGACATTCCCTGAAAAATAAAATACCTGATTAAACTGCTAATTCAAAGTTTTTAGGCAATTTCTTTTAACTTTGAAAAGACAAAGCAAACTTGTTAGTACAATTTTAATATAGCAACACTTCGAACTTGGCAATTTTAACATTTGTGTTGCTAGAGTTAAAAATGCAGTGTTGCTATATTACAAAAATCAGTCACCTTCCGCAATACCATTCCGATTTGCATCGTGAACATTTCTTGTTGGCTTTATCGCCACACTTGGCGCACTTCGCCCCGCCGCTGTCCAAAGCTAAGGCAGCATCGCTAGTGTACGATTCCAGTAGTTTCTTGGCCATACGCCGTGATTCATCAGAACCATCGACAAAACAATTTTTTAACTGATTGGCCGCAAGCGACTTCTTTCTCTTATGCACTTGACGTAAGTAAGCATTTTTTATCTGAAAGAATATTACAGTTGTAACAAAATCATGTTTTTGATTCTTGAATGTCAGTTTGTTTAACCGTTGGAATTTCACGCAGATACGCTAAATATTGTAAGATAAAAGTAAAATTATGAATCAAATGATGATAGCTGAATTTTTTACCTGTGGCACAACTTCAATGACCGTACATCCAGGAGCCTTAACGCCATTTCCTCGATTATGCAAACTGGAATAGTCTCCCATTGCCATTTGGCACAGAAAGGATTTCAATTCTCCCAATGGTGGTATTTGATCTATAATTTCTTCAGTCATTTTACCTTGCAACTGTTGAGAATTGCATATTAACTGGTTATGTCAATGATATTCGATTTATGTGCAAGAATTTGGTGTTGAATACATACGCGACAGAAAGCTGTGCGTCGGACCTCATCAATGACGTAGAAATGTTTAAGCCTTGGTTCTAGGAGTAGCTGACGCAAGCACAGCCAGAGCTGTGCTTCGCTGCGATGCATTTGAGACAAGTCTTCCCTATTTGATTTTGACCAACGCCCATCTAGAAATATCTTAGTTTTTGATTGTTGCGTCATAGGTGACAGTCATATTCCTTCCGATAGTGAGTTCCCAAGTTTATTAAGAATTCCTTACGAAGTTTAAGTACAGAAATAGCTTACAATTGAATATTTGAATATCGCCTTTATCGTTGACCTTCTTCCAGGGCTCCAGCTGCAGTAGATGACATAGAATTGAAGGTACGTCGTTAGTTTTGTACAGATTAGTCGCTATTGACACGCCCGAACCTGCAGCTTCCATATGCTCCGCCAGATATCTATAAACCATAAAAACCATAGCGTTAAAAGTCAACTAAAAGTTTAATTTGGCCTATAATAGACACAATAATCAAACAATATATAATTTACCGTTTTCATAATTAAAATATACGGAAAAACTATCTTACCTAACGATAGAAATACATCTCATGCTTATATCAAATTGGAGATCTCTCTTCTGTCTCTGCAACTCTTCTATTACCGTTTCGCTTTCCATTTCTTTACCTGACATTGGTTTTAAGTAACCGTCGCTAACAAAAAGAACGATTTACTGTAAATCTTTAGATATTACAAAGTAAAACACGTTATTGTAACGTCAAAAACCTTTAAACGAAAGGCACTTACTTGAGAAGCGCAATTAATGAAGTCAGTTGTTCTGTAGCATATTGCAGTAGATCGATAATAACTTCGCTAATACATTGGACTCCGTCTTCGTGAAATAAGACAGTCTCCAAGAGACCAACTGCTGCTGCTTCGTGATATAACTGAACCAATGTAATTAGTACAAACTGTATTTCATTCAACTTTTAAATTTAAATATAACGACCAAAAACTGTAATTCTAAGCATTCTAAGTCTCGATTGCCTGGTTGATTGTCATGTAATTAAAGCTGTTTCAAGCTCAAATATAATTTATCTAACTCACCACCATGTATATCCCGAAAGTACTAGCAGGTGCTGGTTCCAGTTTCATCATTTGTGGGTATATTTTTAACCGCCATACTTGAATGCAAATAGCCTCGTGAACAAGTACAGGTAACTATGAACGGTGCATTTATTATTTCACACTTTATTTCCTACTAAATAATGCCAGGAGAAATATTTTTGGGTTACCTTGCCATGAGAAATTAGGGTTTCTTTCGTGGCTTCTTCCATCATAGATGACGCTTCCAATACAGCTTGCTGGTTTAGTTTCTGTAGCCTAGTATGCCAGTCGATCCAGCTGTAACAATAAAAAAGATTTTGAATATTAAAACGTTTACGTAGTGCGGATTCATCTCAGTAAGACCTAAGTTAAACAAAATTACGCTTGATTCCCAATATTTTCGATTTCAGAAGGTTCCATGCTGTCTACAAATAAATCCAATTCCCCGACCTCTAAAGCACTTAGCTGACCCTTATCATTCATTTCGAAAATCTGGAAATATTTTCAGTGATAGAAGAAATGAGAATATGGCACCATAAATCTGATTTAAAAAAACAAATTGCGTTACTATAACGACAGCAATTTTAAATGTGAGCTTTAATTTCTATATTTTTTGAAATAAATATAGAAATTAAAAATTCAAACAACCTTGTTCAACCTTAAAATTATAAGGAAAATTCTTTGTAATTGTAGAATACCAATAAAATGTAGAAATATTTAAAAATTACAATAAAATGTAGAATTTATTTTTATGAGTGTTGCTAGTGAGAAATATTTAAAAATGGCGAATAGCGGAAGTCTATGTCCTTTGTCGTTCTTTTGATAATTTGACACACGTGCCGCGTGGAGTTTTGCCTCGCAGGTTGTTAAATATTAATAATTTTATTACTATTAAGTGCTAAATTAATGCGAATAATGTAAGGGAAACCTAATAAGTGTTTAGAACACTGTATCCTATATGTGTACCTGTGAAATATATCAAAAAAGTGGTCAAAGCTAAGTGCACGGCGTGCTGCTGTATTGGACAGTTTTAGCGTGTTAGAAGTCTGTTGATATAAATTTGGGTTTATTCTCTTCAAACTTGTATTTTTAAACAGTTTTGCTTTCAATTAAACATTATAACTTTAAATCTATCCTTGATATAACCTAAAAATAATGTCTATCGGACGCATAGCGCTCATGGTTTTAACTGTTTTTTCAACTTTACATGTTCATATTTAATTTTAATAATTCAATTTGATTGTATTCATGTCTCATAGCACTACTCAATAAGTAGAAATTATTTTGAACTCCTCTATATTTACAATACGATTGGTACAATGATAACCTAAAAATTACCAAAAATGATACTGTCGAAAACATAAATAAATTTATGAATACTATAAAATGGTTAAATCTGGTAAAAATACAACTAATAACATAAGGCCGAACTTACGTTCCCACCCACAATTTCGATTTATTATGTTTTTCATTTTAGTCTATAAGAACTATCTAATAATCTTCTTTGATTATGTGATTTATTTATTTTTTGTAAGCAAAACCCTCTAAAATGCTAAAATATTTCATTTTCCTTTTTCAGCACCATGGTTGCGGTAACAGAAAAGAAGAAGACTGAAAAGGAGCCTGTTAAAGGCAAGGAGGACAGCAAAAAGCTCCCCGCTGTACCTGAGTCTGTGTTGAAACACCGCAAAAGGAGAGATGCACTCCGCACACGACGCATTGCAGTAAGTTTGTATTTAATAAGTATAACCAATGTAGATAAATTATTAGTCTAGAGCAGTTCTCTGAGACCTAGAAGTGTAACATGTAAATTAAAAATACATATTTTCACATCTCCACATCCTTAACAACATCCATCCATCCATCATCTTGGTTTCCTTGGTCATATCAACTTTCAAACATTCCATCCATCTCGTTCTAGGCCTACCTCTATTGTGTATCCTTCCACACTTATGACTTCCAATAGGTTATTAAAAATATACAATGATAACCAATATTTATTAAGAAATTAAATTAAAAGTAGTTGATTCGTCATTTTGGAGGATACAGGTGTCTGCTTGCTTATATACTATTTGTAATAAAAAAAAACTACTTCAGTATTCTCCATAGATCGCTTCTTGGTATTGGTGTCTAAAAAAATCAACCTTTTTAGCTTTTTTTATGATGATACAAAATTTTAAAGGCATAGTTCATCTGATTAAGATGCTGTTACCAAAGTTCTGATGTGATCACATTTATATCTAATTAAATTGCTTAATTACTTGATACTAACTTTATTGGTAACTTTTAGGTTACACTTAAAAGGCGTTCAGCGGCCATCAAGAAGAAGCAGGAGATCTTCAAGAGAGCCGAGCAGTATGTTAAGGAATACCGCATCAGGGAGCGCGATGAGATTAGGCTAGCCAGACAAGTGAGTTTAATTTTAACCTCAGCTCACTATATGTCCCTACCAAGGGGCTTAGTGTCTACCCTAATAATGGGTGACTAGGCTATAGTGAACTACACTGGCCCACTGCGGTTGGTTGGCTTCACACATATTTTTTAATTTCTTCACTGATATGTGCAGGTTGCATCACAATAAATTATGGTTTATTACAAACATAATTAAATTAATTGTACAGTATATATAGTAGCGAAAATTCGCAATATTTAACTTACACTAATATTATCCTGTTCAATTCTGGTCAAATTTTGTCATTTTTTAATTTATGACATTCAATCGTGTTCTGAAATTTTGTTATTTTTAAAATGCCTTCGTAAGGTACGAAGTTTAATTGTTGATACATTACTTATAAGACAGTTTATTTTGTAAAAATGTGATGTCACAAAATTTCAGACCCCAACAATGTCACACTTTGTCAATTGCACAATTTGTTATTAGAGAAGTTTTTGGAAATATCATGAATAGGTATACTTAATAATTACAAAAATTAGGTTTCTGCTATGTTTGTAAGCTATGGTAGTTCTAAATCAAGGATTAATGTGACAATATTTATGTATACCCTCCTTATTATAAAAGTTTTTCAACATTGAATTCTTATTTGTTATAAGGCTCGCAACCGCGGCAACTATTACGTTCCCGGTGAGGCTAAGCTTGCCTTTGTCATCCGTATTCGTGGTATCAACCAGGTTTCACCCAAGGTAAGATTTATGCATTCAATTTTTAAGTTTTTATAGTAAGTCCCCTCTATAACGCTTATTCCGTACACCATATAACGCGGAAATCTCCTATAACGCGAATATTTCCAACAATTTTATAAAGATGGGTGCTATAAGGCCATTTATATCTGCTTTTTTGAAAAATGTTTTATAGGGGTTTCTACAGGGCGGTTGCTGGTTCCGCGTTATAGGGGGTTTGCTTTATTTATATTTTTATCCGCTCTGCACGAATCTCGCAGATTTAATGTCTGTGTGGACTCAAAGAGCGCAGAGCAAACTGTGTGCCCCTATGGTGACCTGCAACATGCGGGATCAACTTTCCTAGCACTCGGACATAATTTTATAAAAAATGTATCTACTACCTCAGAATGGTTTAAAAATGTAATGTTCTAATAGTATAATTAAATTTCTTTATCCAGGTACGAAAAGTTCTGCAATTGTTCAGATTGCGTCAGATCAACAATGGTGTGTTTGTCCGTCTGAACAAGGCCACCATCAACATGCTGCGTATTGCGGAGCCCTACGTCACCTGGGGATACCCCAACCTTAAGAGTGTGCGGGAGGTGAGATATTTACTGTATAGTTACATTATACACTAACTTATGTCCGCGACATTGTTCGCACAGTATTAAACATATGAAAAACAAAAAAACAATATTTATCCCTTGTGAAACTCAGTTTTCAGGGATGAATTGTACTGCCTGTGTTACTTCAAACTTTGTTTTATATTTGTACCAAATTTCAATAAAATATGTTGAACAATTACAGAATTAGAGAGTAAACATGAAAAGATTATGTTTCCCATGGGAACCATAACTATTGCCGGGATCAAAAGTAGCCATGTGTTCTTTCAGTATATTTGACTATATGCGCTCTGCACGAATCTCGCAGATTCAATGTCTGTGTGGACTCAAAGAGCGCAGAGCAAACTGTGTGCCCCTATGGTGACCTGCAACATGCGGGATCAACTTTCCTAGCACTCGGACATGATACTTTGAATTAAGTATTAAAAACTAAGAATTTACCCAATGAGTAACATTTAGTTAATTTGTTTTAGTTGATCTACAAGCGAGGTTTCGCGAAGGTGAAGGGCCAGCGCATGCCAATCACCTCCAACAAGATCATTGAGGATAAGCTCGGCAAGAGTAACATCATCTGTATTGAGGACCTAATCCATGAAATCTTCACTGTTGGAGAGAAGTTCAAGGTGAGTTTGTATGCACAAAGTGTTTCGTTTTTAATGGTTTTTGTGGTTAAATTGCCATTTTATGAATGTCTTTTTTTTTAATATACTTATAAATACCATTTTCATAAAATGAAATATATTGAAGGTATATCAAATTTTTTTCATTCCTGTATAATGTTCTTTAAATAGGATATCTTGGCTCTAACTTTTTTACTGGTTTTGGTTATTTATTTCCCATCTTGTTGGGTAAATTAAATTTAATTTTATATATTTACCACTAACTTAGAAAGCTTCGAGCCCTTCAATAGGGATGTATAGCTGATGCAAGATATTATTTTTAATCATGTTTATTTTTCAGTATGCAAGCAACTTCCTATGGCCGTTCAAGCTGAACAACCCGACCGGCGGCTGGCGCAAGAAGACCATCCATTACGTCGACGGCGGAGACTTCGGCAACCGCGAGGACAAGATCAACGATCTCCTCCGGAGAATGGTCTAATAATAAATAGATTTTAATTATATTTACATGTTTTTTATTTACAAATCCTACAAAATGAAGATAAAGAGGTTTCTTGGTATAATGGTTACAATTACAATGGCATTGCTCCATACACGAATCTTTGAAGCTGCTCCAATAAAGGCTTGAGATCATCAGTATCTCTAGAGATGCAGCATCTAATACCTTTTTGGATGTTCTGAAAACAAACATATCAGCTTTCATGTCAACAAATATTAACCACATTACTATGGAAATCAGCCAAAACACTTATACGATATCTATCTATCTCTCTCGTGACTTCGCGTCCGCGCAGAATTAAAAAACGTAGTGATTTTTCTCGAATATTAGACTACATTCGAGAAAAGTCACATTATCATCTGTATCAAATTTCATTGGCATCCGTTAAGCAGTCGTAATAGATATGTTGTAAAGAACATCTGTGTGTCCAAAAATTTTACATGAATCCAATCTTTTTTTGTTGTGTTTTTAATATTATTTTAATTTCACGTGACGAAGTCGTGAGAAACAGCTAGTTATACATGAGTAGTATTTACAACCTACCTCAATAGTAGCATATAAAGTATGTCTGACAAATTCTTTGCCCGGTTCACATTTACTGAAGTTATCATACGCCAAGTTGCAGTAGAAATTCCTCATATCAAAGCCTATTTTCATATCATCACATGTAACTTTCAATGAATGATCGGTAAAATCATTGATAATCTCAATATTAACTTTAGTGTTGCCAATTTCAAATGTTATATTATTCTTCCCTTTCAAAAAATCATCTGATGTATTATGCTTCAATATATTTAATGCTTTTTCTGTATTAAATATATTTCTATAGTAATTTTCATTTTCAAATGCTTCTTTACAATTATCAGGTAATTTTAAATAAAATGAAAATTCTGATTTTGTTTTGTTTTCAATACTAGTAAATTTAAATAAGTGGCTACTGGAATTAAAGGCAATTTGATTTATTATTCCTTCAACCGAATTTTCAACATTTTTTAATTCAGTTATATTATTCTTTAGTATATTAGATTTTATAAAATGCTCGGCATTTAATATTATTTCTTTCTCATGCATTAATATCCACATTTCTTCTTTACTCTGCATTCCTGGTATTCTTTTTAATATTTTAATATTAACAGTAACTGATGTGCTGTGTTTACTATTGAAAGGAATTACTAAATTAATATTTTTAAATTCATCAACTACCCTCACTGATGTAGTTTTTATCAATTTATTGGATGATAATAATGTTATATGTATCTGTAAATCTCTTAATACTTGTAATAAAACATTATTTATTTTATGTTTTTCAAACGTAAGTGATATTCTAATTAATAAACAAAGTATATTTGTGGTGAAAAATTCTCTCACATTATCCGTCAAAGTTAAATCGTGACATTCTTTTAAAACATCTTCATAATTATTATATAGTAAAATAGAATATATAATAATGCTATCTAATATGTCTGGACGATTTGATAATGATAATGCTGTTATAAAATCACATTCTTCTTTAATTTTCTTCTCTAATTCATAGTTTACCTCAACTCTGTCTAAAATTTTATAAACACATCCTGTATCATTTAATATTTTTTTAGCTTCACAATATTCGGATGTAGATTTAATAAATATTTCATTATCAACAGTAATTAAATATATTAAATTTGTAAATGTAGTACAAAGGATTTGATCACCAAAACATACAAAATCCTTAACTTGATTAATGTGGAATTGTTGGAAATTAATATCTTTTGTAAATGTATTATTAGATTTCCACATTGTTATACCATCTGTGTATAATATTGATTCGTGAAATGGAACACATTTCGAAATTGCAGTATTCAAATGAACAATATCAGAATTTTTATTTAAATCAGCCAGTGATAATTTTACAATTGTACCTGATTCTAAAGTAATTAATATGTATCCAAGATTTTCTTCAATCAATTTTATATCATTAATTCTTGTAGGAGAGCTAAATATATTTTGTAATGCCATTTCATTTGTTTGCATTTTTTGTGATAATAAACTTCCATATAAAACTCTTCTGTCAAAACTAATTATAATTAAATTATAATCCTTTGTTACATCTCTATCTGTGTTAAATATTCTCAATAAATTATCATATTTTTCATCTAATTTGTAACATTTTAAAATACATGAATTTAATTCACATTGTGATGGCTGGTTGTTTTCATTAGGAAAAGTCAACTTAATTTTTTTCTCTAATTCGAATTCCGAATTTAAATTATTTATCCATAGATGATGAGTGTTGTGTTCGAATTTCAAACTTAATACTTTCTCAGATGTGTAAAGTGTAGTACTAAGTACACACTTTTCTCGCTGTACAAAGTTCGTTTTCAAACGTTTTGGTGCAGATTGTTTAAATTTCATACACGTCGTATATATGTTTCCTTCAAAATCTAAACATATTATAAAATTATTAGAAGATACAAGATAAAAAATATGAAACGCAGGTAATATTACTTTCGACGCAGCTTCAAATTTTAAATTCTCGTATACGTATATTTCGTACTTATTCCACAGAATAAATGTCGTGCTGGAAGCATTGTAGTCGATATTTAGAGGACCCAGACACTGCACATGGCTTTTAAAACACTTGATATTTGATTTAAGTGATTCGTCTATTTCCATTTTTAATATTATTGAGTAGAACAATTAAAGAAGCGCGCGCGATAACATTTCAAGTTTTGTGATGACATTGGAGTTTGACAAGACAGGTTTGGATTTTTCAGGCCAGATTATGCTATGCACAGAGTAAAAATACTTATTCTATTTCATGTTTATGGCTCTCCCTCAGCGGATTGTAAAAATACTTTGTGGTTTGTATATTGCGGTAGAAACCGATAGAAACTATAAAGACTAACTTTTGCCACAGATATTTGCTATTTTATTGCATATTTTAGTATTTTGATTTATAAAATTGTTTTTTTTTTAAATAACACAATCTTGGGATAGGTATAAATAAATTCATTTCCGCTTCTTTATAACATTATTCATTTACTCCTCAAAACAAAATTATAATGATAATTTAATTTATTATCATTAATGCAAGTTACAAATTATATATCCGTTTGTATTCCTTTAATATAATTAACAATCGTTGTTTCACATTTATTAAAACAATATGCTGATAAAATTAGGGTTATAAAAATACTTTTTAATTGATTTTCGAGGAATAACATACTCCAATTATTTAAGATACATAGATAATCTAATAGTTTCAATTTTGAATAAAGTGGACATATTTTAATACATAAATTACAAGGGAAAATTGGAATGTATCTTTCTGATATATACAGAACGTTTTAAGAATAAATAGTAAATAATTAAGAACCATTCAACGATGCATAGTATAAACTAATTGGCACACTGTCACTTTCACTATCAAAACTATAACCTATTCATACAAACTAAAGAGGTTCGAAACTTTATTCGTATGTCTAAATTCGCGTAATGAAGATGAAAAAAATTATTATTATTTTATATTTACACATAATATTTGATATGTTTCTTGCTAGTCACCAGACACTATTGCTTTGTAATAAATGTAGGACCATAGTTAAGAAAAATAATAAAAAAACATTTTCCGTTATTAAGATTTTTAGATGGACGGTTATACGAATACCAAGTCGGTTTGAATATGAAAAAAGTGTTTTTACATTTAAATTTTAGTACAAAATTGCTACTTATGTGCAACAACATAAAATCTAAATCGCATTACAGATATTTACATTATTTGTCATTATTGCAAACGCACTTTTTTATTTTTAACCTTTTCTTAGTTACGTTAAAACGTTTGCCTTGTCTATGGTCCTCCATTTTTAAATCAATGACTGTTACATTTTAAAATAGTAATGTAAATGCTTAAATAATACTATGGTTGCTCATAAGTCTATATGTACAATATTCTCACAATCTTGAGTATTATAATTGCACTTTTGAAACACTGAAATTCCACTACCTAAACACTTGATAAAAAAATGTAGTGGTCTCTGTTTTTATTAAAGACTGACAACGTATTTATACAAGTGTTTCGAAAGTTGAAATCAACAGTAAGCGGCTTGCCATCATAAAAATATACGCATACCAGTTATGGCAGTTTTCTACTAAAATTGGTTACATACTTAATTTATAATTATTAATACAAAAATGACCTTTTAATACGATACCGTGGGCTTCACTTGCGAAATACATGTTGACAATATATCGGCATCTCTTTCATTTTCTTTTAGAGAGATAGAGACAATATTTAAACATGTCTCTGCGAAGAAAACCCACGGTTACAAGGGGAATGTGACGTCACAAAGTAAAATAAATGAATTTTAAAGTTTCAAAATTAAATTGATACATATTCCTGAGTTAAAAATAGTCAAGTCCCCGAGTTATAATAAAGAGTATATTCAATTTATGATAATTATTTAAGGTTTTCAAAAGTTACAAAGTATAACCTGATGACTCTTTTAAGCGTTAGTATTATACTTTGTTTGGTTTTTTATTATAGTACAATTTATGACGCAAACGTCTATTTCTTATACTGTCGAAATCACTATAAAGTATTTTATTATATTTACTTTGACCCGTTAAAAATAATTTATACACTGGCAACATTTTCGAACGGAAGTCCATAGTCGTTGGATTGAAGGCGCGTTCGTGTGACACACTAAAGACGCCATCTTTGTTCTTGTGTTACTTTTTGATGTCGGGATCCATTTTAGTTTTGTCCATAGAAGATGACACCATGCCACTCTGAGGGTACAATTTGTCTAAGTGCTTGAGAGATTCGTTTAAAAAGTTCTGAAACAAATAAAAAGCAAATTATATTATAACTAGCTTTCTACTGCCACTCCATCCGCATGAAATTAAAAAAAAAGTAATTAGCAAATCAATAGTGTAGGCTAGATACTCTAACATCTATCCATCCGTCTAAAACTTTACATTTTTAATATTAGTAAGATTTCATTTCTTCTAACTACCTTACACGAAAGATACGGCGGAGACAACCTTTGGGTCAATGTACAAACATAGTAATTATGTCACATTGAAATATCGTTACGCGTCATCAGCAACCTTTGACTAGTTAAATAAGAAGTCTGCATACAATATTTTAGGCACATTTATGATCACAAGAAGACTACGAAAAAGTATGAAGTAGGTCATTACCATGCTCTATAGAATTGACGTAATAATCAGTTGAAATTATTTGATGGCACGTCTACCGCATTAAACATTTCTTCATAAAATGGCAATTTAATGCATAAAGGTTCTCCCTGACCTATAGCATTTATTATATATGTCGGCTTGAGCTAGCACGATATCAGAATTATTACTACTCGAAATCTCATGTGGGCGGCCATGGGTAAAGTCGGATGCCAGGAACATATTTACAATACTCCTCAGTCAGGATATCATCGATCTACCAAGCTCATATCGTTCTAACAATGTTCTCGCAACGACCCCTATTTTCAGAATAATCTAAGTTCTCACGAAAGTCGCTTGGCGGCGCTCGTGTTCTAATTATGACTTAAATTCAAATTGATTGCGACATATGTAACAATAGTTTCTTTATACCTGTATGGCGGTGAGCGCGGCGACGATAGCTGGTCCGCCGAAACCGTGCGAGATGAGTGAGAAATGTGTGAGGTGTCGCTGCACCGCGGGCTCCAGCAGGTGCGGCGGCCGCGTGTTGCACAGCGGGGACCGGTCCTGGTTTAACAGGTCCATCAGCTCCTTGGTCACCTGCGGACAATACATATGCATCTAACTCTCACATAGGTGGTCGGTACTGAATTACAGTAACTGTGGTTGATACCGAAGTTTTTGAGTGCGTTAAACATGAATACATGGGCGTGTCCCTAACTTCTTTCCTGGAAGATGGATAGAGTAGAGAGAACCCCTAGACCTAGAATAGATCATCGACTGTCGATACCCATGTATGAAAATACTGTTAGTCTAAAATTTTAGATTTTATCCCTTACTGTATACTTTTTGGTCCTTTGAGTCGGTTACTAAGAATGTTCAATAAAGTTAATTAACTGGTAGTCAATATCAAGTAACTGTTCTTTTCTTTTGCCAATGATTGAAATTGCTTTTATAAAAAATCTGGAGTCAACTTTTATCACCGTAATAATTCGAATACCAAATGAAAAAATTAAATTTCACAAGTGGAGGCTAGTTCAAATATTTTAGTATACCTGTTTAGTAGCTTGTAGCAGATCCCGCCGCCTCCTGGCGTCGTGCTCCGCGTACTGCCGCGCGAGGTACTCCGCGAGCGCCCGCGCAGGGAACTCCGTCTCACACACGTAGCCGAAGTCCCGCGCCAAGTGCACCGCCTCCGCTGCACGTAACACACGTTATGTCTGGTTCACACTTTACCAGTACAGTTGGACTATTAGGTTTAACTATAACAATAAAGTGTAATGTCCTATAGACAATTCAGACGTGAAGTCTATTTTTTTTTCTTGGTTTAGTAAATTGAATCGATCTGCTTGATATCTATTGATTGGTTCACACTTGACCAGTACAATAGGATAGTAGTGCTTAAAATATGAACTGGCATTCAAACGGCATAATGCTTGCTACTCACTTGGCAATACAGTTAAACAGTTACGCTGCATAGACTCATTGACGCCATTAAGTTTACATGCCAGTTGATTGCCAGTCCAGTTTTGAAGCGCTGTACTGGTCATGTGTGAACCAGACATAATAGATACCAAGTAGATCGATTCAATTTACTAAACCCGAAAAAGAGAATTTGACTTAGCAAAGGCAATAAGTGATACTTTTTTTATTTACCTTCAACAAGGGACGTAAGTAAGGTAACATTGGCAGCTTTCCGTCTCCCAGCTGGTAAGTTGAGGCCGATCTTTTCCAATTTCTCTCGAAGTAATCTGCCGCCATTTTTACTTTTCGCCCTGGCAACAATAAAGAAAAAATATAACTACAAGAAACATTAATAATTAATGTACAAGACAATAAAACAGAAGAACAAATTAATAATAATCCGATCATGACGTAATAAACATAACCTAAAAGTACCGTTATAGTAACATTCGGCACATCATTATTCATATTGTTGGTTAAAATACTTTCAATCAAAAATAGAATGAATCTAATTTGGATCCATTATTTAATAATGCGCTCGACAGTAACTGGCTGACAAATACATTTTAAAATTAAATTACCGCGCAACGGTTGACAACATTTTGACAGCTATTTTCTTCGTAATGGGAATAACAGATTATTCTTTTTTTTTAAATAATCGATAATTAATTGTTCTTTATAATATGAATTGTTAATTGAACGTATATTAAAATAAAATTTTCTTTTTAAGAATACGTATTTTGACTAATTATTATTTTAATCTGTAATTAAATACTCATGACATAACCTAATGTAAAACTTTTTGTACCATTGATAAGAAATAAAAGTAAGACGTCGACAGGCTTCTTAGAAATCATACCTGTAGTTTTTTAATGTCTGAACGTCATGTAGCGTTGCTTCAGTTCGATATGAACAAAAAAAACATTTCTCATAGTATGACAGGTCGCATGCCGGCGCGCGGTAGTGCAGCTACCGACCGCTAGATCGAGCCACAGATAACCTATCGATTACCGTCAAAACCGTAATTCATGATTGACGCATAGAAAGTTGTCAGAAAACAAATTGAAATGCAATCGAAAATTGGATTATTATCTTTAACACGTTGTAATAAAGTTAAATTTGTAATGGATTTAAATACTAAAGGCCTAAAATAAGTTGGTAATAACAGGGTAGGCACCGAAACAGGCTACCAGTATTAACCGACGAAATGAAGGCTCGTTAACGAAATTGTTTTCGATAAATTTCTTTCGTTTTGACGATGAGTTTTCTCTATAAAGTGAAGGTTGTCGGTTACATTGATTGATTGAATTCAAAAAAAGATTGAAATCTCTTATGAAGTTGTAATTGTTTTTTTTTTACTTTCATATAAATAGCCGGCCTATTGCCAGTTATCTATCTTTTTAACGGGAACGCAAACGTAACGTATTTTTTTAAATCGATGTAGTAATTTTATGTTTTTTCATTACACACTAAAATACAAATGTTTCCTCTTTATAATATTGGAGGAAATATAGACTACACATTGTTTTTAGTGCGTTATCCTAACAAAATACGATACTATTATTTTAAATTGTTAGATATCAATCAACACAATCAGCCATTGTATCTATTCTCGCATTAACACATACAAATATTTTATATAATCTGTGCCGATTATTTTCACACGTCCGCTTAGCCATTGATAATAGAAACTCGATTCTCCTAACGAGACAGACAATGATAAATTCAGAATCAATGGAAAACTAAATCGAATGAATCGACACATTGGTTGAAACTAATGAGCGAGATATCAAATACCCGATTCGTATTGCTATTCGATTATCGATTATTCGATGTTTGATTCACATCGATGGTTATGAGGTAAAGATACCGTTGTTTGTTTTTTGAATTTGGAATCAATAATACATGATGTTTAAAAAAATCTCACGCATCTTAACCGTACATAATATTTATTCAATGGATTAATAACCTAATAGTAATATTACGAACTAAAGTGAGGCAAAAAAGGCCTTCAAAACCCTTTTGTTCGGGTAAATTATGAAAACCAAGTCTCGTTTAGAGCGCGCGCAAAAACTATCGCAAAACTGTTTAGTCTCGCTTTGTTTCCAGCTTATATGGAGGTGCAGGTTTACAGGGGTAGAGCTCGCTTTAACATATTCGCACGATTGGGCCGGCTCGCCCGGTGTTATACCACGACCACACAGAAAACAGGCGTGAAGTGGAAGCAATTCCGCGTTTCGTCTGATGAGTGTGGTTCCGGAGGCCTAATTTTAGTCCCTTTCCCTTTCCACCCTTTTCTTAAGCGGAAAGGATGGGAAGGAAAAGGATTTGACGGCGAAGGAGACGCATAGAAAGGGGAAATGTCCTCTTTATGTGTGTCTCCTCCTTCGTCAATGAAGGATAGCCAACGCATCTGCAATTGCGGATGTTTATGTGCAGCGGTCGCTTTCCATTTCGGTGGTTTCGGGTGGCAGCTTGCTCGTTTGCCACCTTATAATATAAAAAAAAAGGTGCGCACACAACTCGCTTGTTAGTTGTGCAACTAAACAGTTGAATTGGCTGCGGAACAATCGACAATCGTAGAACATCAAATGTATTTGAAGCAATCCATCATTAGGTAATAGATCTGTTAACTTTAACCTAGACGCTTACCTCCTCAGTACTCCGCCTAATAACGACGCGTTTAGACATTCAGGCGGCGACAGTCGCCTCTGTACTTCAGCTACGGTAACTTTGTACTTGCTGGTAGAGGAGAGCAGCGACAGCCTTCCCGGAACAGAACAGAACACGTCGTTAGGCGCACACGAGCCACCGCCGAGGCCGTCACGACCTTTCATTGCTGAAACAAGGAGATAAGTTTAGTGACGAAAATGCAGTCTTTGTGTTATTCTAGATTGTTATATAAGTCTGTGCTTCATATCTAGATACTTTTAGCTAGTCAGGAGTTATTTTTTTTTTTATAACATAAGGTTGCAAACGAGCAAGCGGTCACCTGAAATCGCCAAAGTGGCGAAGCGACCGCTGCCCATAGACATTCGCAATTGCGGATGCGTTGCCTACCCTTATCCGACGGAGGAGGAGACGCACATAAAGAGGATATTTCCCCTTCCTATGCATCTCCTCCACTGTCAAATCCACTTCCTCTTCCCAACCTTTCTTTAAGAAAAGGGTGGTAAAGAAAAAGGGACTTAAATTAGGCCTCCGGCACCACACTCATCAGACGAAACACGGAATTGCTTCCATTTGACGCCTGTCTTCTGTGTGGTCGTGGTATTACACCGGGCGTGCCGGCCCATTCGTGCTAAGATGTTAAAGCGGGCACTACCACTGTTAAAGTTATGTTATGTTGTACCAAATATTATAAATGCGAAAGTTTAAGCGGATGAATGTTTGTTAGAGTTTGTAGCTTAAACGGCTGAATGGTTCTCGAAATTTGGCATAGATGTAGAGGATAGTCTGGAAAACATATAGGTTACTTATACTTGATTCGTGTGATTTAATGAGTATCAAATCGCGTGCAAAAGGTAGTTTATAATATTAAAAAGATTATAAATGTGATAAGACTTTTTTTATATTATTCCATAATTCATGTTACAATAACTTGGTAGAAAATTGAAATAAGTGTCCTGTATAGTTTTAATGCCTAGATTATATCAGTAAACTTTTTTAAAACGGCTGTTATATTTATTACCTACTTATTTAGATAAAAAAAATTGACGGCCATTGTTGTAATCAAAATTTTCCACTTTAATTACAATAAAGTAAAAATATTTCTGACGCATTTGTTTTTTGCGAACCGTTACTGTTCGTACATCGACAGTATTTTTTTCTATTCCACTTTTTTTTAAATAACAAAAAAGTCGAGTCAATCTATATTCGTTCGGTATACGTGATTACAAAATAGCCGGCTTCAAATATCAACAATGGCAACACTAACAATCACCGCCACGCCCCAAACATGCGCTCAGCGTGATCTCTATTCAAATTGTAATATTTCTATATGGCAACCCTAATACAATAAACATTAACGTGTCATTAGCGCGGCACCATGCTTATTTCACACCGTGTGTAGCTTTTTAAAAAAGTTTTTATTAGCGGCCAATTATAATTTTGAATTTCGAATAAAATATAGAATAATTGTTCTTCATCGTTTTGATACTTTTTGGTACTTGATATAAAAACTCGACGATTATAAGACATATTCTAGTTGGAGAGTTTTACAAGATTCCGTCATCTATACATCTAATAAAATAGAAACGTTTGTAATGTGAAAAGAAAATTTTAGATTTCGGGAAGATGTATTTGTGTTGCTGATAACGAAAATCGCAAAAATTTTTTTGTCTGTCTGTCCGCAAGTCGCGTTTGTTCCAGGTAATCTCCGTTTTGTTCCAGGTACGGCTGGACGGATTGCAACCAAACTTGCACTGAAGGGTAGCTGACATAGACATGTATATTATAGGCTACTTTTTTTATCTTAATATTACGTGGACGAAGACGCGGGCAACAGCTAGTTTTTTATAATATTTTTGTAATAATTTCTATTGTTCCTTGTACTTTACGAGATTAATTTCGAAAAAACATGCTACTGGTTGGCGAAAATGATCAAACGATTCTCATTTCCAAATTCGAACATACAATTTGAATTTAGAATGATTGATCGTTCGTTTCATTCGTTTGATATCGATTCATTCGTCCGTTGAATGAGATGGGCCTTTACAATCTACTTAGAATAATCGATACACCTATGAGATAAGTTCGGTGCGGGGCCTAATTACTGGACTTATCTACGCCGGGTCATCGATATGGGACTAACAATAAAAATATTTGATAAGTTAATAACATGTACTTATCGGAGCGTTCGTGCGGTTTGAATTTGGAACATCGTGTACGGTCAGCAAACAACCAATTTACCGTAGATTTCGACTCTATCTTGTCATCTCTTTTTTGTAAAAAACAATGAAAGGGACGGCAACATGTCATGGTCACGGCAGTAAAGTTTTACGGTTTTGTTACATAACACTTAGGTAAATTAGGGCAAAAATTGATGGTTTCTTAAATTGGCTGTCGTTTGCTGTAGTCAGTTTTAATAATTTTGCTGTAGTAAAGAATATTAGAAGCTTTGTTACTAGTTTACTAAGACCCAAATATCTATAACTGTAATAGAACATATTTTTTTGTGTCTTTTCATTCTGAATGATTAGAATTTCAGTCTATTAAGTCTTTGATAAATTCAGCTGTAAGTTACTTAAGGTATTAAGTCAATAAATACATATGTGCGTCTCCTCCTCCGTCAATTAAGGGTAGGCAACGCATCTGCAATTGCGGATGTTTATGTGCAGCGGTCGCTTTCCATTTCGGTGGATTCAGGTGGCCGCTTGGTCGTTTGCCACCTTGTATTATAAAAAAAAAATGATCTGGTGGTTTATAAAGATCTGTTGTTTGGGATAAAATGTATTCAATGATGTTTTGTATGTCGTAGAGGATGTCGTTTTCGTATTTACGTTTACAAATATGCTATACGTTTATTTTATTACCAACTGAAGCTGGAAAGTTCAATTAAAGGTATTCTAATAGTAGAGTTTAGTATAATTAGACTAACATCACAGACGTTATAATAATAGACTACACTCAGTGAAAAGGCAATTAAGAAGTACCGACACACATTTAAATATTAATTGTTCGTACCTGCAGCACTCGATAAGCTCCGGCCAATTTTAGTGTCCAATTGAAAATGCCATAAAACAATAGCAGCACCGGGCAATAATTGCCGGGGCGCGGCCCGGGTCATAATAGTTTTGATATTTGTGGCCCGGGCACCCGGCTGTACCCGGCCGTTAATGAATTACCCGGTTCAAAGTGCTTTAAAATAAAAGGAAATAGAAATTAACTATTTTATATCAATAGCTTTATTGGGTGTACAACTGATAGATGGTGAATATTTTGTCTCTCTCTTTGTTTACTCAGAGTCATATCATAGTAGAAATCTCGGTGTATCATTTAATCAATTTAAAATTCACCAAACATGTAATTATTAACATTACAGTGTACTACTTTCATGATGAAATTTAACGTGAATTTCGTAAACAAAAATGTTTGTTAAAGCTGGTTTTAAATTTTAAACTAAATGAATGAATTGCCATTACATCATTACAAGCGCGGGCAGGCTCGCTTTGTGCTAACCAATTTATCGGAGCGGCGTCAGCCCGCGTCATGCGCGCTGGACGACCGGCCGCGTCTGATGGATAATGAATAATTCAATTATGTCATCGATGCCCGTATTTCACGGAAGAAACGCATTCGATATCGATGTTAGGATGCATACACACTAAGCATGTAGATAATTGTCTCTTTCATTTCTAATTTACTAGTTTTATTTGGTTAATCACCTTTGTTCCTGGACAATTACATTTGGATCTTTGGCAGGCTGTTCAAATACAAGAAAAGATAATGTTTTTTCAAGTAGAAGTGTAGAAGTTGTAGAAGTAATAAGTCTATGTTTCGTGTTTTCTTTTTGGTTTCCGAGTCTTCACTCATTATTTCGATCTTTTCTCTCAAGTTTCTACCGTTACAGTCCTTGTTCAGTTCTCTTGTGTATAATCAATCGTTAGTGTTCGACTGGCCTTAGATATGAGTTGACGGGTTGACAGCTTGCTCGCCACACGGCCATTATAATTTTATGCATCGCGCTGCTATCGACGCTGATATCGCTTTCCATTCTCTATTACTATTCACATCTGGACGTTCATTATCCCCATGTGTAACCTAGATTTCAATATTAGATTTATTTTCAACTTTTATATGAGTATAAAGACTTCAATTATTAAATGAATGTATCATCTTGTTGTCTATCAGGGGTCAACGTACTAGGTGTACGTCATTCAAATCGATTTATTATTCGGCTTCTTACTTGACACTCCCATCTTAACATTTCAGTCAATCCATCCATCTCTGCTTTTGCCTATAGGAATAGCTTCCATATTTAAAGTTCTTTTGGTCACATGCAATTGTTTCTTCCTTACAAGAGAAGTTGAATCTCATATATCTGTCCTTGACCCACATACGTACGATCAGCGTACCATATATCTAGTTGTAGTAATTAATAATCGTTTGTATTTTATGTTAGACAACTCTTTATTTTCGCTGGTAGCGACAATTTAAACCGCGTTACGCTTCCAAATAGATATTAGCCCGAAAATATCCAGTTAATAATTCTTTTTCCATAATAAATTAGCGGCAACCGGCGAGCGCAGTCGGCCAGTATTTATGTCTCCTCGGTGCGATTTGCTCGCAAATTACTCTCCACAGCAATGATTCACAAACTAATGCGCCGCGAATACGAAAAGTCCATTTACACAGCACGTAACGTTCTGGAAATGTTCCAGCGTTTTATTTGAACGACCGAAAATTTGCTGCACCGATGGCCTACTTTAAATTAGTTGCGATTTTTTAAAAATTGAAACTGGGTCGCTATCATTGGCACTTGATGCTTGTGTATGGTATTACCATTGAAGATTTTCCAATCGGTTGTTACTGCTGGATTAATGATTTTGTTTTAATCAATTGCAAAAGCATAGTAATAGCGTAGATATGTTCTTACTAATTTATTTGCAGATCAACGACGGCTTAAAATCGTTAGTTATAAATTAAATCGTTTTCGTTTTGTCCCGACTTTGTCTTTGCTCTGCTGAACATGTGGCATAATGCGTGAGTAGTGTTTTTTATTTAACATGTTAACTTAATGTTTCTTCGACATTAACTTGTGGTTTAGGTCAATTAAAATAAAATAAAAACCAGTAACTAAATAAAACCAATATCATTGTGATTTATCTATGAATAT